ATTGATTTGTAAAAGATGATTTGTAAAAGTTGATTTGTGTAATTGATGCGAACATAATTCTTATTTGTGCTTGTTTAATTGATTGAAATGTAATGGTTGATTTTGTTGATTTCAATCTGCATTATGTTGAAGGCAAAAATGACTATCGCAATGCGAAATGAAAATCGCAATGCGAAATGAAAATCGCAACGAGAGAATCGCAATGCGAAATGAAAATCGCAATGCGGAAATGAAAATCGCAATGCGTTTATAATTTCGCATTGCGATTATCTCGTTGCGATTTTCATTTCGCATTGCGATTTTCATTTCGCATTGCGATTCTTTCGTTGCGATTTTCATTTCGCATTGCGATTTTCATTTCGCATTGCGATTTTCATTTCGCATTGCGATTTTCATTTCGCATTGCGATTTTCATTTCGCATTGCGATTCTGTCGTTGCAATTTTCATTTCGCATTGCGATTTTCATTTCGCATTGCGATTCTCTCGTTGCGATTTTCATTTCCGCATTGCGATTTTCATGTTGGGATTTTCATTTCGCGTTGCGATTGTATTTTCCGTGTTGCGATAGTCAAATGCATGCCTAATAGTGATAACAACTGAATAACAAGAGTTGGTTAAGTCAAAATGGTTGGCCTGAGTCATTAATTCAACTGAAAATGTTAAAAGTTCACACATAAAATCCACATAATACAACGTTTGCATTTAAAAATCACCTAAGTTAACAGTCTCAAAAGGTGAAGCCAATCGTGATTGGGATTTTAAAGATGATTGCCTTTTGCTTGACACCATATGAGCTTTGGATTTTGATGAGGATCCATATTTTGGTAGAGGAAAAGATGATTTTGATGGCACTGGTGATCCACATGTCAACCTTGTATGACCACTTTCCTTGCACCGACTACATGTCGATCTCTTCTTCTCTTCACCCTTAGACGGTATACGATCGTGACTTTTTGGTCGGCCAGGTAGCCTTCTGTCCATGGCTGGTGGCAAAACTGTTTGTAAGTCATCTGGTATGTCCCACTCAGAAGGATGTGGAATAGGGTAGACAATCTCGGCATAAGTCTGTCGATAAACTTCTGTAGTGTAGCAATCCATAGCGTATGCGCTTGAATCATCTTGGTTTAAATGAAGAGCAACTTTTATAACATGGCCACACGGATAACCAGATGTTTGCCATTTCATACAACTACACGTCTTTGCATTTAGATCGACTAGCCCATTTAAGTTATTATCCAGTACTTGAAACAAAGTGTTTGAACATGGTTCAACTCTCCATGACGTTGACTTCACAACACGTTTCGTTATCTTTTTTTCAGTCCATGGTGTAACACGATGTTCCAATGTTCCTGTAAATTTAAATAAACAATACTTAGTAAAATATATAAATATGATAAGTTACGAATTCAAAGAAATAATACCTGCATGGTTTCTTTTCTTGTAGTACCACTGTTGAATAGAGGCTCGAAAAAACTCCATTAACATAGTAATGGGTAATTTCCGGGAATGACGACTTAGAGCGTTGATTAATTCTGCACTATTAGACGTCATGAAACCATATCTTGCTCCAAGTTGATGTACTCTTGACCATCTTTCAAACCCGACATCTTCTAGTGTTTGAGCACACTGAGGCAAAACACGTCTTAAACAATTTATATGCTTATTGAAATCCACTTCCCGATAAGCTTTTACAGCCTTCCAGTATGTCCATTTGTGCTTTTTTATACCAGCAGACCTTGATTTTAGATTTCTATACAAATGAACACCACAAAGTCCATGAAAAGCATCTGGGAAACACCTTCTAACAGCGTTGTCAATTGAGTTTGCCCTATCGGATATGATTGTCAGATTGCTAATAGGACCTATGCAATCCCTAAGATGCCCCATAAACCATGTCCATGAATCAGAGGTTTCAGATTTGCCAACCCCGTAAGCTATTGGCAATATCCCATTGTTAGCATCCATGGCTACTGCTAATAAGTTTACTCCAAGGTATCGACCTTTCAAATGTGCTCCGTCAACTATAATAACTGGGCGCATGCAAGTAATAAACGAACGAATCTACAAAATAATATACACAAGAAATATAATCATTTAAATGTGAAATGCATGTAACTAACAAAAATGAGTCAACAAAATTATATTGATTTACTAACCGTAGCACCAATGGCGATAAACAGCAACTCAAAGCGTCCATCTCTATCTGTTTTGATATGAGTTACCGACCCAGGATTTTTCAGCTTTAAATTGTGACAATAAGCCGGCAGTTGGGCAAACGATGCTTCTGGCGACCCCCTCAACAATTCCAAGGCATAACATTTGGCTCTCCAAGCTTGAGAATATGATATACTAATCTTGAACCGAGCATTCATGTCAGTCATAATTTCATGTCCCCGATATACCCTGCCATTCAAAAACATTAACTCAGCCAGAAAACCACCCAACACCTTTTTGTTTGCCTGTCTATGGTGAGGAAAAACTTGGGTTCTTGAACATGTATGTTTATCAATAAAAGTCCTAACTTGAAACATTTTGCAATCTTTTATTCTCTTTGCAATCATACGCCACGTACAGTTTTTGTCAATCATACACCTTGTTTCGAAACGATCTTTGCTTGATTTGTTAACTTTTAGTTGATAGCCATCTTCCACACATTTCGTATATAAAGCTATCTTCAAGTCTTCCTTTGTATCAAAACAATCATCTTTCTTGATACGAATAACTTTTGTGTAACAATCAACTGCTTTCTTTATCAACTCTTCTTCCGGTATCTGAAGTAATTCTGGCATATTCCAGTTATACGCCCGTGGCATTTTCTTTTCTTCGGGGACTTTTTCTTCTTCTTTTTCTTCTTCAGGATTATATGAATTACAGAATGGATGTTCAACATGTTCATTCACAGTCGTAACTTCCTCCTCATTATCATCAACATTACATTCTTCGGCAACGGCTGTTTCATCATCAAAATTCGGGTATTGACCAATATCAATATCATTACACGCATGGTCTGTTTCTTCTTCTGAAACATCATCAAAATCCGTGTATTGACCAATATCAAAGTCCGGATATTGACCAAGACCAAATTTCGAATACTGACTAGTACTCACAATTTTTTCTGTTGGCTCATCATCGTCTAACTGGTCAATACGAAAACCGGAATTTGGTGCTGAAAGTTGATTGGGATTTGGATTAGAGAAAGGTTGTGGGTTTTGAGAAAAACTTAGTTGATTACTACCCGCTACTGACCCAACAATACTACTTCTAGGTTCAACAACATACAATGTAACATCATCTTGTGAAACACTAATGTAAGCAATGAATCGTTCAACATCTTCATTGTCGGTTAACAAATAAACTTTACCATTTCTCTGATAAGATAGCCTAAATCCACTTAGGGGCTCTAAATTCAATTTATTTGAAACACGTAGCATTAGAGTTTCATAAGTTAACTTTTGTAAAGACAATTTTAGTTGAAGATTCATGGGTAAAGGCATATATTGTAAAACACCATGAACATTATCCCATGACCCTCCAAAACACAAATCTATCCAAACATGATCAACATTAGATGATTTCATGGTTGTAAATTAATTTACTAAACAGACGAGCTGCGAAACTAAAACCTGTTGCCGGATTGGGAAGGATGTCGTTGGATATAGGAACGGATGTCGCCGGAGAGAGTGATAGATGGAGATGGAATGAGTTGCGATTTAGGGATTTAGTTTATGATTTCAGTGTTATATACCCAAAATTTAAGTGTTGTGATTTACAGATTCTCGTTGCGATTTACGGATTATCGTTGCGATTTACAGATTCTCGTTGCGATTTACGGATTATCGTTGCGATTTACGGATACGCGTTGCGATTTACGGATTATCGTTGCAATTTACGGATACGCGTTGCGATTTACGGATACGCATTGCGATTTACGGATACGCGTTGCGATTTACGGATACACGTTGCAGTTTACGGATACGCGTTGCGATTTACGGATACGCGTTGCGATATACGGATACGCATTGCGATTTACCCATACGCGTTGCGATTTACGGATACACGTTGCGATTTACGGATACGCGTTGCGATTTATGTGTTCGCGTTGCGATTTTCATATTCGCGTTGCGATTATGGAAAATCGCAATGCGAATTTGTACTATCGCATCACGATTTTCAAGAATCGCGTTGCGATTTTGGAAACTGATTTGCGATTCTGGGGATCGCGTTGCGATTTTTATTTCGCGTTGCGATTTTGTTGGTCATTTTGGCAAATCCAAAAAAAGTTGGTTAAAATCGTATATTATAACTTTTTTTTGGTCACTGAGGCGATTCTCTCTTAAAAAAACATAGAAACAAAATAGCCCTAAAAAATGCCGAATCACTCTTCTTCCAAACCATTAACCCCTTTGAAAAACACACACGCAGAAACCATGTTCCTTTTTTGTTCTTTGACGTCAACCCAAGCTCCACAACACTATTAAGCCATTGAACTCTCTGGTAATAATATCTCGTATTTTCTTTCAAACCCATTTTCTTTTTTAGTTTCCAGAACAATGAAATTATGCTTCTTTATGTGTGTGTGTGTGATTGCACTATTTCATTTCGTGTTTTTTCTTTAATGGGTACTTAAATTTTTATATGAAGGTAATTTATCTGTATGATTTTGTAAGATTTTTTATTTTTGAAGAAATAAATGGCGGACATTTCTTACCTATTTTCATAGAGTTGTTTGACTTGGTTGCTTGTAGATTGCAGTTTAGGGACTGAAGGAAATAATTAATATATATAAACTAAAATGAAAGATAAGATTGGGGATTTCCCTCACTTAACTACGACTCGTTCTATGTTTCAATCTCCTAAAAAATCTATCTTTTCACCACCTTACTCTACGGTTTGTTGCTTAATTTATGTACTCCCTCTTACTAATGGCTCATTCTTATTCTCATTTTTTTTTTTTTTATTTTAACTTTTATGTTTTTGTTGGCCTTTTCTTTCTTTCTCTCATTTTCTCATTCTGTTTCTTTCAGGTGAACTAAAAGTTATCATTGTTATATTTGCTTCTTCTGATTCTGGTTCCAATTCTGCTGCGTATATCAACATGAGTACGCAATTACAAAACCTTATCTTTCTTTCTCTCTACATACACTATTGAGTTCATAGGTACACTCTTCCACTGATCGAGCCTGATTCTCCATTGCACATTGTTGTATAGTTAGAATGTTATGATTGCTATATATTGATTTCTTTTCCATTTTTATTGATCTTTTTGTATGCAGAGATAAAAAGAAGTGATAGAAAAAGGAGGGAAATAGGAATCAAGGGTGGAATATATGTCTTTCAATCAATCGAGGTCTGATAAAAGCGAGCAACAGTATCGGAAATCCAGGCGATCAGTAGGTTTTAATCAGCAGCTGACCTCCTCAGGCTTTTACAATAAGGGTGCTGGCAGCGTGCCTGCCCTTTCACCGTCTCTTTCTTCATCGTCGTCCAATCGAAGGTAAATGCTTAATGGTTCGCTCTGTTATTTTTCTTTTAATTTTGATTGCAATTTATTTAGGATTTCCACAGGATTAGAGTTTTCTATTGCGACTTCTATTGATTGAGGATTCATTTTTTTGCTTGGGTGGTAATGAAATGATAGTTTTAAGAAGACTAACAATGCACAAGGAGGGCAATCTCAGGCAACTACACCTGGTGTGAATTCTAGTAACGTACAAAATGGTTCACATGTACAGCTCCAGTTACAGGGTATGATCCAAAATAATTTAAGCTTGTCTGATTTTATAGATTATAATTGAAGAAAATCAGATTATATTTATGTTATTTGCATTTGTTTTCATTTTCTTTTATAGGATCATCTGATACAGCGATTGCAAACGGTAGTACCAAGCCAGTTGAATCAGTCATCACTCAGAGAAGCACCCGAGCTGTTCCAAAGGCTCCAACTTCTCAACCGGCCACCCTGAGTTCTGATTGTAGCCCCATGACTCCCACAAAGGGTATGTTTATATGTTGCCTGGTGGACTAAGGCATTAAGCTTACAGGATCGAAGTTGTTGCAATTATAGGAAACTTGGGGTTCTTCATTTTACTTGTAGTTACAAATTACAATGATGTGTAATTTATTTGTTGTTTGTTTGTTTACATAATAAAATTCCAAGCTTAATCTGATGTAACTGATTATATGTATATATATTTCATTTATGATGATTAGATTCAGGAGATGCATCAAAACCGTTCTCTCTACAGTTTGGGTCCATAAGTCCTGTTTTCATGAATGGGATGCAGGTACCTTACTATTCTCATGTTGGTGTTCCATCTTTTCCCCATTCAAAACATTGTATCCTAAAATAGATGTCCCTGTTTGTATCAGATGCCAGCTAGAACTAGTTCAGCTCCCCCAAATTTGGACGAGCAGAAACGTGACCAGGTTTGTATGTCACCGTGTACTGTAAATTGTCTACTGATGTTTTTGCACCTCATCTTTCATCTCTTTATCTCTCTCCCCTTTAATAAAAATTTTAAAGGATACAGAGGTTTGTGGATTTTGGTCATTGGTTTTCTTCTTCATGTATTTCAATTTTCAAGAACCATAATATCTCACATTGCATAAAAATACAGATGATTTTCACTAATCACCGTGGTTATCTTTTACAATTTTAACCTACAGAAAACCTTTCTATACAAGTGTGACATGTTTGTGCCCATATTAAGTTTTGGTCTCATGTTGTTTTTAATTGATAGTCTTGGAATTTTAGGAATTCACTTAGATTTGAATGGCATTTTAACCTGCAGGCATGCCATGATTCCTCTTTTAGATCTGTACCGGATGTGCCCACTCCTGTTCCTAAGCAGCAGCAACCAAAAAAGGGTTCTCCAACTGTCCAATCTAATCTTGGGGAGGCCCAGGCAGTGCCCAAGGTCAAAAAAGATGCACAAGCCTCTATGGCATCCCCCACAAACCAGACACAGAAGTCATCTCTTCTTAGTTTGCCCATGAATCCTATGCAGATGTCATTTCACCACCAGCCGCAGGTTTCCATGCAGTTTGGGATGCCTAGTCCACCAATTCAATCTCCTACTTCAATGCAAATGCCAATGCATATGCCTTTACCTATGGGAAATGCACCTCAGGTGCAGCAACATGTCTTTGTTCCAGGTCTTCAGGCTCATCAATTGCCACCTCAGGGAATGATGCATCAGGGTCAGGGCTCGGGTTTCTCGCCACCGATAGGTGGCCAACTTCCTCCCCATTTGGGAAGTTTAGGAATGGGTATTGCCCCTCAATATCCTCAACAACAGGGAGGGAAGTTTGGTGTTCCACGTAAAACTACCACTGTGAAGATTACTCATCCTGATACTCATGAAGAATTAAGGCTTGATAAACGGACAGATACCCATGCAGATGGTGGGGCATCGGGTCCAAGGTCTCATCCTAATGTGCCATCTCAATCTCAGCCAATACAATCCTTTGGTCCTCATTCAGTCAACTATTGTTCCAATTCAATGTTTTTTCCGCCACCAAGTTCTCTTCCATTTTATAGTAGCCAGATAGCAGTTAATACACAAGGACCAAGATTTAACTATCCTATTAGCGAGGGTCATCAGAACATTTCTTTCATGAACTCAGCAGCAGCCCATGGTTCAGTGCCAGGTAATAAATTTGTATATGTTGCACATGGTACGTCAAATCACCTAATATGGAGCCTACAAATGATGTACATACTGTTTTGTCCTCTGTTCCATCAGGTTTGGTACAGGTTACTGTTAAGCCAACCATTGTTTCTGTTGGAGAAAAGGTTGTGGATTCCCCGTTGTCAAGTAGCTTGCCTGTTGTTGAAAAGGTTAGGTCCCTCAAACCTTCAATTCCAGCTAGTGAGATTAGCTCATCACAAGCTCAACGAGACTTGGATGCCTGTCAGGGGAGCTCTATACAACAGCCAAAACCTGGAACTGAGTCTTTAACATCCAAGTCATATTCAGCTGCAGCTAAACAACCTGGGTTAATTCCAAAAACTAACTTGGATGAAAGCCTGCCATTTAATTTCGTTTCCCCTACTCCAGCTGCCACATCTGAGGAGTCTATGCCAGTTATTGCTAGTAATGACGGCAAGAAGGATAATTTGAGTGGGTTCAACCCCATAAAAGATAATCAGAAGAAAGCCAATCAGGTATTTCTCTTACTTTTGTTTTCTAACAACGTGTTATGTTTTGTTTGTATGTATTTAACTTCTATTTTTCACATTGTTGGACAGTCTACATCAACATCTAGCTTGGCTTCCGACACTGCCGAACATGGTATGCCCTCAGGTTGTGCAGTTTCTAAAACAGTAGAGGCTAAAACAACTCTAACATCATCAGTAGTTGCTGATGTTTTATCACAACATACCAGGGAATTACCAACAGTTAACAATGCTTCACGTCCTTCCTTAGAGCGGAAGGCAGAAAGAAAGACTGAAAGTTTAACCTTAGCTTCATCTGATGTTTCTGGTACTGGAAGTAGTGTTGATAGCTTTAACATGGTTCGGCATGCGAAGACAGATGGTTCTTCAATGCTGGATGAACAACAGAAACATGAAATTAGTGTAATTAAGGGTGAAGAAGGAAAAACTTTACTTGAAGAGCAATTAACAGACAATTCTACTCTTGAGATTCCTTCACATTCCGTTCCCCTAAAATCTAAGGAGCTTAAGTCTAATAAAGGATCTGCTTCAAAGGCAACAGCTACCAGCAATGTACCTACCTCAGGAACCTCAAAATATGAGAGAGTCCCTGATAGCAGGGATGGCTCTCCCTCTAGAGTCATTGGCACTACAGATGTTGAAGGTTCTCACATTGATAATATCATTGCTTCTGATGCTTCTTTAAGTGTTACCAGTAGCAGTGAAATAACTGTTTCTAATTCTGTTGCATCTGACAAGCAGTTTGATACCATCCCAGTTCTTGATCCCTCAGAACCAACTTCAAAATATGAAATGGAAGGTGTTCAGGTGCCTAGTTCAAAGGAGAGACATGTGCTAAATCTCAATAGGACAAGGAGTAATACAACTAGAGGGAAGAAGAAAAGAAAAGAAATTCTTCAGAAAGCAGATGCTGCTGGAACAACTTCTGATCTCTATATGGCATATAAAGGCCCTGAGGAAAAGAAAGAGACAGTAACACGTGCGGAAAGCAATTTTGTTGGTCAGAATTTGAAGCAGACATCTTGTGAGACCCCTCACCTTGATGCCATAGGAAGTGAGAAGATATCACAGAATAAAGCTGAACCAGATGATTGGGAAGATGCCGCTGACATCTCTACGGCAAAATTAGGAACTTCAGGTAATGGTGAAAGGGCCCGTGGAGGGCTTGTAAATCGTGAGAAAGGTGAAAGCAGAAATATAGCGAAGTATTCCAGAGATTTCCTCCTTAAGTTTGCAGAAAAGTGTACTGATCTTCCACCTGGATTTGAGATTGCTTCTGATATTGTAGATGTCTTGATGGTTACCAATGCCAATGCTTCTCACTTTGTTGATCGTGATTCATACAGTGGTAGTGGAAGAATAATGGATAGACAATTTAGTGGAGCTCGACAAGATTGTCGTGCTAGTGGAATGGTCGATGATGACAGATGGATTAGACAACCCGGTTCTTTTGGCCCTGGAAGGGATTTGCGTTTCGATCTTAGTTATGGTGCTGCTGTAGGTTTTCGGCCTTGTCAAGGAGGTAACTTTGGTGTTCTTAGGTACCCACGGGGACAAGCACCTCTGGCATATGTTGGAGGGATCCTTGCTGGCCCAATGCAACCTATGGGTCCACAAGGAGGAATGCCACGCAATAGTCTTGATTCAGAAAGATGGCTGCGAACTGCTAACTATCAGCAAAAAGGGTTTATTCCTTCTCCACAAACTCCTTTGCAGATGATGCACAAAGCTGAAAGGAAGTATGAAGTGGGTATAGTATCTGGTGCAGAAGAATCCAAGCAAAGACAACTGAAGGCCATTTTGAACAAACTAACTCCACAAAACTTTGAGAAACTCTTTGAGCAAGTAAAAGCAGTAAAAATTGACAATGTAGTTACTCTCACTTGTGTTATCTCACAAATTTTCGACAAAGCTCTAATGGAGCCTACTTTCTGTGAAATGTATGCGGATTTCTGTTTTCATTTGGCAGGAGAGTTACCTGATTTTAGGGAAGAGAATGAAAAGATAACTTTCAAGAGATTGCTACTAAACAAGTGCCAGGAAGAATTTGAGAGAGGAGAGAGAGAACAAGAAGAAGCAAACAAAGTTGAGGAAGAGGGCGAGGCTAAGCAATCTGAAGAGGAACGAGAGGAGAAGAGAATCAAGGCACGAAGACGAATGTTAGGTAACATTAGACTTATTGGGGAATTGTACAAGAAGAAAATGTTAACTGAGAGAATAATGCATGAATGCATTAAGAAATTACTTGGTGAGTATGAGAATCCTGATGAGGAGGATGTTGAGGCTTTGTGCAAACTAATGAGTACGATTGGAGAAATGATTGATCATCCAAAAGCAAAGGTACATATGGATGCTTATTTTGACAGGATGGCAAAGTTGTCGAACAATATAAAACTGTCTTCTAGGGTTAGATTCATGTTGAAGGATTCCATTGACCTGAGAAAGAATAATTGGCAACAGAGGAGGAAAGTTGAAGGACCTAAAAAGATTGAGGAAGTGCACCGAGATGCTGCACAAGAGCGACAAGCACAAACCAGTAGGCTTGCTCGTGGTCCTGGCATCAATGCTGCTGCAAGAAGAGCACCCATGGATTTTGGTCCAAGAGGGTCTATGTTATCTTCTCCTGGTTCTCAGATGGGTAATTATAGAGCGATGCCAAATCAAGCTCGTGGTTTTGGTGCTCAGGATTCTCGCATGGATGATAGACAGTATTTTGAGGCTAGGACTTTGTCGGTTCCCTTGCCTCAAAGACCAATGGGTGGTGATGATTCTGTTACTTTGGGTCCTCAGGGAGGTCTTGCTAGAGGGATGTCATTTAGGGGACCATCAGGAATATCCAGTACTCCCTTAACTGATGCTTCTCCAGCTTCAGGAGATTCTAGAAGAGTGGCCACTAGTTTGAATGGTTTTAATTCTAAATCAGAGCGAGCTACTTATGGTTCTAGGGAGGATCTAATGCCAAGAAATGAGACAGATAGATCTACAGTGCCTACTGCTTATGACTACTTGAATTCCCAGGAACGGGGCATGAATTTTTTTAACTGGGGTCCTGATCACAGCTTTGATAGATCTCATACTACTTCAGCTGCACGAGGCCAAAAGACCCAGTTCAACTCAAACTGTTCCTTCAAAAAAGTGCTGGTCTGAGGAGCACCTGCGTGATATGTCTCTGTCTACAATTAAAGAATTTTACAGGTATCCCCCTTGGCCCAAGTGTGATTTAGTGTTTTCCTTATCTAACCCTAGTGCTTCCTTTCGATATATTTATGTACAAGTACAAACACAAATACATACATTTGCATAAGGATGTATATGTTTTCTCTACTTTTAGTAAAAAATTTGATCTGCAAAACTGCATCGGAAAAGTTTGTTTACTGATGGTTAGCTTCAGGATCTCCAATATCAAATTTGCGAGATGGTCGTCTAATGTTCTGACTGAAATTAACATGCCCAACTGTTGTCTTGTCATGTTTTTACATTTAGAAGCAAAAAATGTTCAAGTTTTTATTTATCTTTAGATGACTGATATATCAAGGTTTTGTTGTGGACAGTATGGTTAAGATATTGATAATGTGCTTAATTTGGGTAAGTAGTACAATCTCGAACGGTAATCTTAGTGTTATAGACATGTTTATATTGTTGTCTATAATTAATTTACAGATTACATATGATTACCTGGTTGAACTTATCAAAGTGCTTGGGATTTTTCTCTTTTGATTCTTACAGTGCTAGGGATGAGAAGGAAGTTGCTTTGTGCATCAAAGACTTGAATTCTCCAAGCTTCCACCCCTCAATGATTGCTCTTTTTGTAACAGACTCTTTCGAGAGAAAAGATGTGGAACGTGATCTTTTGGCCAAGCTACTTGTGAATCTGACAAGGTCTCATGATGGTGTGCTGAGTCAAGTTCAACTTGTTAAAGGGTATGAAGATCAATCATTTGGTATCAACATTTTGCTAACAGGTTTGGTAATAATAACCATTTGAATTTGTTTCCTGATTCAGGTTTGAATCTGTTCTCAGCACACTAGAGGATGCTGTAAATGATGCTCCAAAAGCTGCAGAATTTCTTGGTCGTCTTATGGCCAAACTAATAATAGAAAATGTGGTATCCTTGAAAGATATTGGACGTCTATTATATGATGGTGGAGAGGAGCCAGGGCGTCTTCGGGAAACCGGGCTTGCCGGGGACATTCTTGGAAGCATATTGGGAGTAATTAAAACAGAGAAAGGAGAAAGTGTGTTTAATGAAGCTCGAGATAGCTGCAACTTGCGGTTGGAGGACTTTCGCCCACCAGATCCTTACAAATCAAGGTTATTAGAAACTTTTCTTTAGAGGATAATAGTAATAATAATGATTATGATGATGGTTCTCAGTTTTGTATGTTTTTGCTTAGAGGAGATGTTGAAAGTCTAGTGCTTCAGGGTTTTACACATGGTGGATTTCTTCTTCTTGGCCACGTTTTAATATTGTTATTTCTTGTAAACGTTCAATGCAATCATGGAAAGATCAATTTCCTTTTGCTTCAAAAGATGATCTTGTTACTTCCACCATTGTATAAACCTTGGATTGAAGGCATATTCAACAACTTAAAATTCTCGGAAACAAAGGTCTTTAGTATTACTTTGAATATACGTATAAACTTTGTTCTGCTAAGTAAGAGATTGAGCCATAAAAGGGCCACTAAAACAATTTGGTTACATAAATGTCATAACCCAAGGAAAAGCTTAATTATTATAAATTCTTGGGTAAAGTATACAAATGGTCCCGACTATAGAGTGTTACTTTGTTGAGTTCTTCGACTATTAGAAGTTACAAAATGGTCCCCGACTATAGGATGTTTTGTTGAGTCTTTCAACTATTAAAAGTTACAAAATAATCATTAGACTATTCATATATTTCAAACTTGTTTTTTTTGTTAAAAAAAATTGACGAACGTCTGAATTATATTAATTTATTGACTGAGATATAATAAAATCATATTTTAAATGTCTGTTGGCATCATTGTTTCTTTTAAGCACTATGTTGATGAAATATATTTCAAGTACTGACTTGATGATATAATGTAAACGGAAAGTCTATTCATAAAATACAATTCAAACAATTCTAGTATCGGATTTTATCATATCCCAATCAACAAGCTTATGTCTTGCTAAGAAGACCACCAATTTTTTTAATAGAAAAGATAAGTTTGGAACATAAGAATAATCAGGTGATTATTTTATAACTTTAATAGTCAGAGGACTCAATAAAACAATATCATATGATCAGAAGATCATTTTATAATTTTTAACAGTCAATGGACTTAACAAAAGAATGTTTTATAGTCAGGGGACTATTTTTGTACTTTACTCAATAGTTTATCATGATATAAAAAAGAATTAGTAGAAATATATATTTAAAATTAATAAGATAAATAAAAATTAAACAGAACAATACATCTTCAAATAAGTAAATATTTCTTCTCTTTATTCTAATTAAATTATGCAAATAATAACAAATTACTAAATTAATGTAATACTAACCCTTATTAAATTTCAAACCACTCCGTTCTTACAAAAGGAAAAAAAAACAATGTCGCAAACTTTGACCTCAAGGTTGACATGTTGAGAAATTAAACATAACGACTTCACCAATATGTTACAAGCAAATCTGAGTTGAACTTGGAAAGTCATTTCCTCTGTTCCAGCCAGCATTGAGGCAAAACAACTAAAAGTTGTACAAATCCTCAGCAGAAAGAAACATGCATTTATTAATCATAGGTGATAATAATCAAAGGACGAAAGGTTTTGTATACACATCAAACGGCTGGCATGCTGTCAGCTGGGGCTCCTGTCAACCCATAAAAGCCCAAAAAAAGGGTCAGAAATTGCAACACATTATCTTCATTTTAGCTTTTTCATTTGTCCCTGTAAGCCAAAAGCACTTTTGTTTCACTGTAATATTCCAGGTCCGATAACTCGAATGAGCCTTTCTCACAATGCCAAATTCCAAATTCTAAAATGAACTTAGCTTAAAGGACTTGATATCATAAAACATCTGAGAGACAATCAGGTCAAAGTTTTGGTTGTTTTAACAAAGATTTTACCAGTGTTTGTTCTAAACAATGTTAATTAGTTGGCAGGATATATGTTGATTCCACATGCATCTGCATTATCATTTTTACGCATATATCAACCTAGCTGCTAAGCATTAGCTTGTTTGAGTACGTATGGTGTGTTTGAAACATGCCCTACTATACAATCAATCAAAGCACTCTTTTTTTGAGGAAAGGAAACAAAACTGATAAGTCGGAGAGACACAGGTTTTCCTTAAATAATTGAACATGGGAATATTACCTGCCTCAACCCACCACCAAGTCCAGCAGTACTACCTCCTGTCAAAAGCATGGTGACGAGGGATGTAACAGCACCACCAGTAAGGTCACCACCACCACTATCCACACTTAGAATCGCATTGCGCATTGCAGTGAGAATACTCCCATATGTAGCCCCATGCCCCCGCTCGATGGCTTGGATGAAACAGAATGTCATGGCACCAGTTGATGTAATCTTTGATAGGGCCTGCTCCACAAAGCATTACAATATTTTTTTAGTCTTTGAAATCTAAAGTGCCATCAGAATTGAAGTTTCAAGACATGCAATCAGTTTTCAAGAATCTCACAGATGTATCAGCAGAAGTTTGATCATCATCACAACCACTGAAGGAGATTACCTCTCCACCATTTGTTCCCTTCCATAAACCTGATGCAGGACGATGATCCTCCCATACATACTGTCCAACCCTGGACAAAAACAATGCATCAACTTCTGGTCTTCAAAGTCATCAAAACAGCATAGTTAACCATAAACTAAACGGCCCAAGGATACGAAAAGCTTATGGGTCAACCCTAGACAATAAATAGGTCCTTTCAACACAAAATACACTTTTCTTCCCAACATGCAAACTAAATTTCTTCTCTGTGGAATGGAGATTCTGTTTCTAACAAAACTAGTAGGAATCTTGATTAAAAGCTAATGGTACATAAGCATGTTCAGCAGCAGCAAACCTGTTCATTCTACAAAGGAACGGTAAATCCAATACGGTTCCACTATGGCAAGCATCAATGAGTGCGTGAAGCTTAACCCCGTGAGGTAGTGGTCGAACAATAGTTGCATTTATCTCATCATCAACAATCATCCCTTGAGTTTATAAATCCAAAGGACAAAGGGTCATCATAACCGTCGACTTCATCACCATTGTAATTCCGTTGCCGTGAACCGTGACCGGAATAGTGAAACAACAGAGAATCGCCAGGTTGACAACCTTGAACTAGCCAATATAACGCCATCCTCAAATTATGCTTCGTTGGAAGCCTGTAGGGATCGGTTTCTTCTTCTGCATTGGGAAAAAAATGGTAGCACTTTTAATTATTTAATTCAAATACACAATTAAGAAAGCTTGAGTTAAAACCATAAAATAAATGCATCATACAGAAAGGAAAGATTCCTTGAGGTAGCTATCACCTTTTATGGTCAAAATTCGATTTTTAAACCCTAGAATTTACTGCCCGTTCATATATTGATCAATAGAATTGATTCCAATTCGGACAAAAGGTAACAAAATTTAATGATAAAAAGAAAAAGGAAAAAAAAGAAGAAAGATTACCGGTGAGCATGAGAATGGAATCTTCGGGAAACTTAAACCTGTTGACGAGAAGGTAACGCATGCACTTGGCGTCGTTAATGCAACCCTTGAGCTCGTGCCTCGAGTATCTATACGATATCCCACAGATCACCGCCCTTTTCCGACCGCGCGCGTGGGGAGGGGCACCGGGAGGCGTGTGGTTAAAGGGGGAAGGGGGAGAAGAAGATGACGGAGGAGGCACGTGAGAGGAAGGAGCAGGCGGTTGAGAGGGAGGAGGGGTGGATCGAGGGTCGGCGATGTTGGTAACGGCTTTGCAGATTGCGCAACGGATGGATCGGGCTCCCTGCGGGAGCTGCAAAGGGGTGCGGCATCCGGAACAGTCAACCAGCGTCGGCGGTGGGTAATTGTGGTACATGCCTGGCCCTGGCGGCTGATACATCCTCAAAATCTCAAGGTAAATACTAAAAGAAAAAAAGAAGAGAAAATTACTTGCAAATTTTGGTGGGGGGGGGGGGGAAGAAAAAGGAGGAGAAGAAGAAATGAGCGTTGATTGGTACGCAGTTGGAAGAGGAAATTGATTAAAAAGACTGCGTTTTTATATTTTTCAATGAACAGATATTTCTTGTGCATCGTCTGTCATGCATGCATCCAATATTTCTTGTGCAAGGAAGGGCCAAATTATAAAGGAAGCTTACCTAATTTAAAATTAAAATATTATGAAAATGGGTGTGATCGAAACTATGATAAAAACATATATTTAAATTGGATTAATTTAAAATATGACATTATAAAGAATATAATATTTTAACTTGTAACTACAAATGTTATAAAAATATAATATTTTAAGTTGTGTTTAACTTAAATACTATATTTTTAATAATATTTTATATCGCGTTTATTTATATCGTTTTTAGTCACATCCTATCCGTTGCAAAACAAAACTCCCTAAAGGATGGGGATCCTTGTCAATATGGATGTGAGCCTCTCAACATTTTACTCACTATTTGGAGTTCATATCAATCAATGAATTTTTGGGCAAATAATTCCAACGTCTAGATTTATTTTGAACTGATTAAATTTAATTTTCGTTAAAACTGATTAAACTTTCAAAACATACAAAGTGTATTATAATAATTAATACCAAATAACATGTAGAGCCATCATACTTATTCAGTAGTAGTTAAATTTGAATCAATTTAATTTTATACTGACCTTTTTGTAAATATTTAAAAGTTAGAAGATAAAACTATATATTTTTAAAAAAATTGTAAGATATCGATACCTTGGAAAGGGATCGATATCTTCTCAAGCTTCAATGTTTCAATATCTATTTTTTTTAAATTAAGATTGAATACCTTAAGAACACACTTCATAATTAAAATATATTAAGTACACCAAGGAAAGGATCATGCTGTAACACCTTATACTGCCTAATTTAGCACATCACATGAATCCAACACGAACATGCAAGTTCAAGCTTATATAATTCATAGACCATCAATTTAGCTAGTTTGCACGAATCAATTTATTTAAGTGATTAAAAGAATTGTTGTTGTTCCTAGAGATTATGTGTTTGAGCACCAGCGACTGCAAGGATGAATGAGTGTTCATTGTCAAATAATTAAGAATATTTAGAACATATATTATTTTATAATCATTAATTAATAAAAAAAACAAAAAAAATATTAAAAAAACCCTACTCTCCACCTTGATCGTTATGACTGTCTGGATGATGCAACCTACTCGATCCTGC